CCTGTTGCAGGGGGCAGAGAGCCTGCAGCCTGCTTTTAATTTTGGCCTGTGCAAATTTGTTGCACTCGGAGTCACACATTTGAGAGAAGGAATGGTTACATCTCCCCTGACAGTTACACTGCTATTGGCTGACAGGCTACTGCTAATAAAAGCAAAGATCCATATTCTCCTATGTTTCTAGGCGAACATACGTCCTCAGCTTCCCTTCAGTGGAGGGCTGGAACCTTGCTCCAAGGAAGGTTCCATAGAACAACTCCCCTACCAACCCTCAGCTCTTGACACTGAGGTTAGCACCAGAACACAGCTCAGCTGGAGGCGGAGCCTGACTGTCAAGTCTTTTCAGCACTAGATGCAATGCTGCCACACCACCCTAAGAGGTAAACCCTGACCCTTCTGCAGCTAACATAACCACAGGTTCTCCCAATCTATTTCAAGGCTCCTACTGATAGACATGGTGGGATGGCGCTAGGGATTAACCAGCAAGCTCTTAATGTCTCTACCACTGACTAGTCAAATTTTAATTTATTTTTTAAACTAAAAAATGTACTTATGTTAAAAATATAATTGGGGTAATTAGACTCATAGAATATACAGGTTATACTCAGCATGATGTTTCAGCTTCTATTCTGAACAAATGGAATCTGCCAAAAGGCCTGAAGTAGAGGTCAAACTTTGTTCTCTCTATTTTATTTTATACAACTTACTAATTATTTTAAATATATTGAAACTTATTTTAAAGCATGATTTCAAATCACTTTATTTCAGCAATTTCTTTCCCCAGTGCTAGGAATTCAACTCAATGCCTCCTTCATATCTGCCAGGCAGGTATTCCACTATGGAGCTATGCCCACAGCCTCAGATCTCTTTGTTTCAAAACATTTAGTGATATACAGTGGTACCATAAACCCAGAAATCACGGGAAGGATGACTCTGAAGAGTTCCTAACCCTGGTAGATACAACAGAGCAGAATCAGAAAGAATTACTGCCATGGTTGGATTTATGTGACAACCTGGTTAGGCTATGTTCAATGACAACTAGTCTAGGTGTGGACATGATTACAACTGGTCAACCTTAGGTAAAGATGACCCAACTATAATGTGGGTGGGCCTTGTCCAGTCAGCTGAAGGCCTAGGTGCAGACTTCTCATGACCTCAACACAGAAACTCCAGTCTGAGAGTTCAGTCTGCTGATCTGCAGATGTGGGGCACATGAATCCCACAGCAGCAGAATGAGTCTCCCTACACATCTGTATGAACAGATACATGAACATAACATATACATGTGCAAATATGTATGCATGTAGGAGTTCTGTTTCTCTGGAAAGCCCTAATTCCATTGTAGTCCTAAAGCTCTAGTGTCCTTCTGCCCTTCTGTATCCTGAAGAGAGTTAAAAAATAAAATGAACTCACCAGTGAATTACAGAGGCGGAGATGAAGATGACCCAAACCTTACCTTGACAGTACAGCCGTAGTGCTTAAAGGGACAGTCTTGTTCGGCCTCAGGACACACAGTGAGGTGTTCGTTCACCTACAAAATGGGACAGCCTATGCTGTGGGAACGCACAGATTCTTCAACTGTTTGCTATAATCAGGCCACTTGAGTGGAAGTGAGGGACAGCAGGAGAAACTGGTGAAGACAGAAGGGTGTGCAAGGGCCGGCCCCAGAAGATAGGCGGAGTCATCACAGGGTTATGGAATCCCCAGGCCTTTGTCTACAGTTCTCATCAAACCCACACCGCAAGGATTGCTAAATGTTTCCCCTATACTCTCCAAGGAGGACTGTTTACTCACCTCGGTTCTCGGAATAGTCCTCAGACACTTGTTAGGACAAGACACCGGGTACGCAGGACACACGTTTTCCTCATGATCCTGAAACAGAGTGTGTGGGAAACAAAGCCAAGATCTCTTGCCTCAAGGTGTTCATACACATGTCTCTGGAGAGACACATCGTGTGGCTTGCTCTCCATAGGCAATTATAGCCCAGTTTCAAAAAAAGACTAGAGATGCCTGCTTTCTTGATGTAAATTAATTCAACTAAAAAATAAAAATTTCTGAGTGAAAGATCAGAAGGCTTGGGGCACAAAAAAGTCAGCTTGGGGATGGACTAGCGAGGCCCCACACACGTAAGAGCGCCCGTGGGCTCCATGTTGATATCCTGCGCCTCCAGCCAGTTAATAGAATCCAGACAGCAGCCATTGTCGTCGACTCCACATGACCCAGGCCTTGCGTCTCATCTCCCATTTTTGCAGCAGGGGCCCAATGCTATTGTCATCAACAGTAAATGTAGAGTCCCACCAAGGAGAAGGCTTAGAGTTCTTTGCAGGATCTCAAACTTCTCTCCCCCCCCCACCCCCCGATTTGAGAACTACCTATTTATACAGCCAAGGATGAGCCGTCCTTGAACTTCAGATCTCCTGCCTCCACTCTTCAGTGTCTGAGAGTGCAGGCATGTATCACCTGGTTTGTGTGGTGGGGGTTAAACCTATAGCCTTGTGAATGTTAGGTGAGCATGCTACCAGCTGAGCTCCAACTCCAGCCTCAGATGATACAAAACCACATCTGTTTAGAGACAGGGTCTTGTGCAGCCCAGACTGGCCTAATGCGAAGAAGCCATGAACTGCTCATCCTCCTGGCTCCAAGTGCTGGGATGAGAGCTGTGAGCCACCATGCCTGGTTTATGGCATGCTAGAGATCAAATGCAGGGCTTTCTGCATGCTAGTTAAACACCCTGCCCACCAAGCGACATCCCCAGCCAGGTAAATCCTCTCCTTAGTCCAAATTCAGTCCAAATAAGAAAAGACTGCACTTCTGAGCCCCATCTGAGCTGCATGCATGGCTGCCCACGGGTGCCTGCTCTCACCTGCAAGTTGGTGACCACCACGTCCCTTTTGCAGTAGAAACACTTCTCTTCCCGGAACTGGCAGTACGCACTCAGATGCTCCTTCACGTCTTTCCGGAGCATGGCTTCCCGGCAGCTCTCGTTAGGGCAGGGCATGGTTTGGAAGGAGCAGTGCTGAAGATGGTCCTGCATCAGGTGACAGCAGCCCCAGGGGCGGGGCCAGTGTGGGGCACAGCGGGGCAGAGAGCCAAGGGCCAGCCAGGCCGGCCTCTCCCCAGCTGTCATGGAGGCCCACTGCCTCTTCTGAGGACAAGGGCAGAGAGGCCGCTGGGGCTGGCACTGTGAGAGCTACCAGAGAGGCCGCTGGGGCTGGCACTGTGAGAGCTGGTCTGGCTTGTCAGGAATTAGGAGATTGTGTGGGGTAGGGTCTGGGAGGGTTTGGGGGCAATAACAAGAAGTTTGTTTAGAGAATCCAGTGCCGGCTCCTGTATGAAGTGCCAGGTCATGCACGTTCTCTCCAGCCTTTCCAGTGAGTGTGGCAGGTCTCTGTGGGATTTCTGTTTGTGTTTTTCCCCATCCCTACCTATCCCAGCACCTTCTATTAACCTCTGCACATCGGAGGTGGGACAATCAGAAGGAAGGAAGGGAGCAGCTGACTCCACAGAAGTGGGGTACAGACTCACGATGGGGGAGACAGAAGGAGAGAGGGCAGGTTCCCAGGCAGGAGGAGGACGGTCAGGCTTTGTTCAGGTAGATAACCTGGAATGCTCTTCATCAGGGCAGGAGTGAACTGAAGGTATTTACTCAGGGCTTGTCACACCAGACACTGAAAACACCTCACGACTCCGAGTTACTACGACCCTGCTGAGGCACCAGAACCTGTCTCTCCACAGGACACCTTCGCACAGCTGGCCCACTGAAGCCACAGCCCAGATGTGGCCCAC